TTATTGAAATTTGCATTTTATCTTGGCTTTATAGTACTGATACAACCCATAGGGAGCGAGAATACTGGGTATTTTGCTTGGTTAGCAGGGAACAGAGCCTGCATTTTTGAGGTAGGGAAAAGTCTTACAGCTGTTTCACAGAGTAACAGGGGGCTCCAGCACTGAGATCCTCAAAACATCTGAATTTTTGAAGAATCACAAGTTACTCAAGGAGGATAACACAACAACAGTAGCTATACAGAAACAGTATCTGCAGAGAGAGTATAGGAGGCATCCCCCTTTGCAGATGAAACACGGATGTACAGGACATCAGTAATTAAACAATTGCTAGCTCCCATCAGCAATTTCCTTCCCACATAGTGCCTTTGTCCTGACTATTTTTGGTTTGTGTTTGGTAGGACTTCACATGGCTTGGCATGCCCCAGCCGTGGCTAACCCAGCTTCCTGGCCTGCAGGCAGGGCGCAGGATGCAGGCGTGGGGGCCAGGAAGCCCGGTGTCCCCCTGGCCTCTAGCAAGCCGCGATCGTCAGCTGACAGGTGTCCAGAGGAGCGCTGACTTTATTTGGTTGGGGTATTTCTATATGCAGTGCTCACATCCCTGGTCACATCCTCTCTCTTTTTCAAGGGGCATCTAGGTCACTACCTGTGCAGGTGGTTTGCCCAAGTCATGGAAATTTCGGATTGAAGCTGTGGCGTGCTTTCAGCATTAACCTTAACCATCAATGCCAGAGGACAGAAGCTGTTGGTTTGGTCCTCCTCCAAGGAGCAGCAGCAAAGCAGAGGAAGAGGAATCCCTGGGACAGGGGGATGCTGCAGCCTGGCTCCCAGCTGCTGAAAACATGCACCTGGTGCCCAGCTGGGGAGGGCATTGCAGGCACAGCCCTGTGCTTCTTGTGTCCTCACCATCCCCGAGGGCAGGTGAAGCGACATTGCACACGCACTGAGAGTGTGGGCTGCAGAGCACATCTGGCTGATGCCTCCTGCCCTCGTTTAGGGTGTCAGAAAGATCAATTGCTGCAGCATGAAGCAGAGGGGTTTCACATAAAGCCTGGTAAAGTCTGCCATTTTTTATGGCAGCTTTTTCTCCCTGCAGGTGACTTATGCTCTTGCTGCATCACCTTTTTCTCCAGGCATTTCCTCAGAGCACAGGCTGAGCCCGCAGCACCTCCTGCACCACGAGCAGAGCCCGTGCAGGTTTTCCTGCTGGACAATGCAGGTTTGTGGCAGGACAGTGCAGGTGGTCCCTGTCCTCCCCCTCTGCTGTTTCTGCTCTCGCAGCACCATGCAGCCACAGCGGGAGAACGGTCACAGCCCAAATCCCACTGTCTCAAGGCAACCCCAGTCCAAGTTCTTAACATCTAGCATTTAAAGCAATCATTTGGGTTCCTATCTCTTGTTTGTGGTACCAAAGAAAACAACAAACAAGGAAAATAATTAAATCCATACTTGAAGGAAATGCCTGAAAATTATTTTGCTCCTTTGATCCTGTAAAGAGAGGTATTTTGGAAGCCCTGCTGAGCTGGGTTGCCAATCCCTTCTTCTTCAGAGCTACAGAAGACCCAGAGATTGACATGATTCATCTCTTAAATAAGAGAGAATTAACATCTTAGAGGAATTCTGAGGGTGCTAAAGTCTGTTTAATATACATACACAACTCTTTTGACTTTTTTCTTTTTTTTTTTTTCAATTTCTTAGATTGATTCCCACTTACCCCTACACTCATTACACATTTTTTTCCAAGGCAACCCTGGAAGAGGAGCCATTTCCCACATTCATCCCACCTGCGGCACCCCTTGTGGTCCAGGTTTTTTGGAGGTGCTGTGCTCAGCGCTCTCACCAGGAGCCTTTCCTGACACAAGGGCCAGGCCAGGCACAGGGCCAGCCAAGAGGATTTGACACTAAACAGGATTTCCCCTCAACCCGACCAGCCATCCTCCTGCCCAGGCAGAGATGCTTCTGCAGGACCCAGGATCCCACCCAGAAATGGGACCCACCTTTCTGCAGCAGGGGTGGGAACTGGCACCCTGTGACTTCAGCATCGTGCCAACAGCCCACATGATGCCTACATCTGTGCCACTTGGCTGGGCTGAGGAACACGCCAGCACTTCACCATTGTGGTTCCCACTAGGACCAACACAGCGTTGATGGTGGTTTTTAAGTGGGGGAAGGGCCACCACCCATGGATGCACACCATGGGTGACTCACTGAGTTTTGGTGAGCTTCGTGGGCTGTTCCTCCTGTCTAGCTCAGAAATCAGTTTAAAATGGAGAACGTCTGGAGTGATGTACAGCCCTCTCCAGGGAACTTCTTGATTGCAGGGCAGTGTGACTTGTTTGTGGGGTGGCATGGTGCCAGAGAGGCAGTGCGGAGAGAGCAACTTACTTGGCCCTCAGCAGCATTCAGCATCTCACGAGTGCTCAGTGACAAGCACCATCGCATTAAAGCCAGTTATTACCACTGCTGTTCACACACTCTTAAATTTCCATCACCAAAGCGGGAAGAGTTTCGGCCAAGCTCATAGAAAGTAATATTATGAAAAGAAAAATACTCTCAAGGGCACTCTCCTAGCGACCCCCATGGTCTGACAGCCCCCCTGAATGTGGTGATGATCCGCCAGCACTTGGGAACAGCAAACACCATCATTAAAAGCAGAAAACATGCAGAAAAGGAGCGCTTCCCCTGTTTAAGGCGGGAGGTGAATCGGTTTGCAACAGCTGAGGGTGCCGCCACCGTGGTCACAGAGGGGCTGCAGCCTGGCTGAGCCTGAGCCCACGGTGGGCACCCACAGTAAAGCTCCCTGCCAGCACCAAAATCCCCTCCTGCTAGTTACTGCCATAAACTCTTATCCCTCCCCATTCACTCCTTTGAGCACAAGGAGCTAAATTAATCAGATAGGCACACATAATGAATAATTCAGATACCTCTACTCATTAGTCATTTTCACTAAGCTCAGCAACTGCTTGTGCACATGGATGAGAAGAACTTCAGTTACCCGACACCAATTTCAGAATGAATTCTTCATTACCCAAAATTGAGGTAGGCCTTGGAATTCAATATTTGCATCATAAAGCTTCTTGTTTCCTCAAAAAACTGTTGTCCCCCCAAAAAAATCTCTGGAGTTATTTATACCCCTTTATGTTACATGTAAATTCCACGACACATAGGAATATACTTGCACTGCAGGAAGAGGCAGGATTAGCTTCCGCTGATATCCCCTCCTGATTTAAAGGACTTTTCTTCAAAACAACACATTCATCTTAAGTTCAAGGTTTCTGGCGCGGGTGGTTTGAGGAAGTATCCGTGCCACCAGGGCTCGTAGCCTGCCAAAAACAAGACACAGGGTGCAAGTGCAAGTCCAAGCTGCTGCCAGCCAGGAAAGTACAGTGGGGAAGGTAGGGACACCCCGAGCCTTAGCCTTTGAGCCTTAGCATGGAAAACAGCAAATAAACAAGGAGCAAACATCCCAAACAACAAATTCCTCTGAAATTGTTGCTACCAGCTGCAGGGGGAGCAGGATTTCCAGCAAACACGGAGCTGGCTGGGAAGGAGGCAGAGCTGTTAGTGGGATACGGAGTGAGCTTTTTAGCTTGCCATTCAGATAAGTTATTTTCTTTTAAATTTTACAAATTAAGGAGGAGAGAAAAAAAAACAGCTGAAAGAGATCAGCACAGATCCTAGCTGCAGACAAATACAGCAGCAGGGCACCGGTGCCATGGCCTCTCTGTGCCCACCAGCCACAACAGCCCATCGGAGAGGCTTAAGCAAAGATGCAAAACGGAGTCAGCTCTGCACTGCATTTTAAGCTTTGCTCCCACCACATTGTTTGCTCCCCTGTCCCCAGCCACCTGCAGGGATGAGCACAGCATGGCTCAGGTAAAATCTGACAGACACATCAACTCCAGCTACCAGTGCAGCTGTGGCCTTCACACACTATTTCAGAGGCGGAGCCATTGATTTTGTGCATGTCCTTGGCGCCAGATGTCTCCATCTTCCTGGGTGTCGAGACTGATGCTCTCCAGATGGCATCTTGATTGCTTGAAGCTTCACTGATTGAGTTATCAGGGCTGGATTGGCTCTGTGGTTCAGCCCACCCAGCCTCCCCGCATTGTGCTGGGGCACGTTTGCCGAGCTCAGTATGTTTTCATCATGCCTCTCTCTACTAGCTGGTGAAGAAAGAGTGCCAGTTAAGCCTGCTGAAAACGAAGTTATCAAGCTAATATCTCAGCCACTTAACAAAGGGGAAAAAAAGGGCAGGTTGAGCTGGTTGGCTAGAGCCAGTGCTTAGTGCTGTTCCAGGCAGTGAGGACCAGACACTCCCGCCTGCAGTTGCCACACACATGCCCATCATAGAGATGGTTAGAAATATTGTCCCCCTTTAGAAAACCAGTCATTACCTGTGATCTAAATACAAGAGGAAAAGAGTTAATTTTCAGATTGCACTATTGCTTTTCAGCTTTACTCTTTCTAACAAGAGAAGCACGTTTCAGCATCATGATCCTTTTTGCAGCAATATAGGCACAGATCTTGTGCCCGTATTTCAGTTGTTTTACAAGTTCTTGCGACTTTCACAAGCAATGCACCAAATTTTGTTTGACTCAAACTTTCCATTGCATTAAATTCCCCTTTGGTGAGACACTGCAGTCTCATCTGCCCTTTGCTTGCTCTACCTCCTATTTCACGCTGAACTAACTCCCCTGTACTTAGTGGAGACATTTCACTCTACATAAGCATAAAGGCCAATTTCCCTCACTTTCAATTTTTTACAAAAATCTGTTCTGCCCCAGAAAAGTATCAGTGCGCAGTCATTTGACTATATTTAAAGCAGGGAAGTTCCTCTTTCACTCCAAAACTACTGTTTTGCTCACACTGAACACAGGAGGTTCAGTGAGCATTTAATTTCCTTATGACCGCCTTTCTAGCTGACTTGCCCAGTTTGTGATCCTTTCGTTAAGGGAAGATAGCACAAGATCATCCATTTTAACAATCCGCCTCACTCCGTAATGGCCTGTGATTTATACTTTTTGATTTTCACAACGTTCGCCTGCGTTAGCTGCGAAGCCTCCAGCGCCACAGAGACAATGTGCACAGAGGTGAGTGAGAGCCGCCGGTCCCTCTTGAGATACAGGAGCTGCATGTGTAGAGGATCGATCTCTGGTGAATACTTACCTGCTGATCTCCAGCTGTTTTCAGTTCCCAAGGGGTTTCTCTCAGGGGGATCTGAAGGCCTTTACTGGAGAAATAAGGCAGGTGTCTTGAGATGTGCTCAGGGACATCACTCACTGTCCCTCCTCCTCCTCCTCACACTCGTGCATCCGTGCACCCTCATGCTCCCTCCTGCTGCTGCTGGGGACTTCAGGAGCCTGTCAAACCAGCACCATGCTTCACCTCCCAGAGAGCTGGAAGGATGACAAAGTTTCACAGGGGTGTTTAGCAGGTACCAGAGCTAGACAGGGGACAGATATAAGGATTTTTGTCTTATGCTTGTGCTCTCCATACAGGAATTTGTACACAGTGGTGGGATGATGGTGTCTCTATTTGTCATTTGGTCAACGTGTGATACCACATGCAAATAGGAAGAAAGTACCAGGGTTTTTCCAGGGGCAGTGGAAAAGGCTGACCTATAAGATTTTTATTTTATTTTTTTAAAGTGGGAGACAAGGAAAAAAAAGTAAGGATTTTGATTCAGGGAGGAAGCACCGTGGAAACCCAGCCCTATGCAGCACACCTTTAGGGCCAACAGGAAGTTCCTCACTGAATTAAATGTACAAATCCCCCAGCACTCCAGGTTGCACACTGGGATCCCCCAAGGGATGGTTGCTCCTCAGCTCCCTGTGGGAGCTGCTCCGTGCCCCAAAGCATACAGAGAGAGCTTACTCACTAATTTATTTGAATGGTTAAACATAGACACTGTTTTCATTTATAGTGACAGCTAAACATTTTTTATGTGTCTAAACAGCATGACATGGCAGTCAGCTCCACAGGTTCTTCTTTGCTTATCAGTATTGAAAGCATCGGCTTTTCTAAGTCTACATTTTGCCATTTCTATAGTTACCAGTGCTGCATTATTTCAGTGCTTCTAGGCTGGAGCCAAGTCCCTGTGCTATGGCCGGTACCGGGCTGGCTTGCTGCCCCCCAGGCCATGCCAGGTGCCCAGAGATGGGCAGCACTGTCTCATCCCACCCTGCTGGTGCTGGACCCGGTGCCGTCCCCCTAGTGCTGAGCTCCAGCCAGGCCCCAGCATGCTGAGGGGAAGGATGGCAGAGGAGCCGCACTCCCCACCTGCGTGGGCATTTTGCTGTGACAGTCCCTTTCCACTCCCTCCTGGCTCTACCAGTTATGGGGCTTGTGCCTACGGGAAAGGAAGGAATTGTTTGCCATGTCCAGCTTGTGGCTTGCAACAAATACTGCTCTTTCCCCTCCAGTGAAGTTACCAAGTGCCTCCACTGCCTGCCTGCTTCTGCTAAGCCACAGACAGGCAGAGACGTGGTTTGGTCTCACTCAGTCCCATGGAAAGATCTGAACCTCGTGCACCATTCCCCAGGGTCCACACATGTGCGCCTCAACAAAACCCTGGTGAGCCACATGCTGCCACCCCACAGGGCGCACATCTGCACTGTCCTCTGCTTGTCATGAACTCCAGGCTCCAATGCATTTCTCACTGGACATCCCACCGCCTGTGCTTGCTTTCTTTGGGCTAATATAAAATAGCTTTGAATCTCATTAAAATGGTCAGAATGGCCAACTGTGCAATACGTGCATTTACTTCCCTGCAAGCAGAACAGCTCCGAGCTGCCTGGCAGGATATTGCCAAAGCTGCAGCTCCCACACGACCCCAGGGACCCTGACCTTCCCAGGCTGGCCCTGTAACCACCCAGGGCTTTCTCTGAGAGCAGGACTGGGCGAGGAGGAGGGTGGCACTGCGTTGGCTGCACCCGTGCTCCCCATTGCGGCTTGGCGGCTGGGACAAATGTGATGCTCTGAGCATCTCCACTGCCTTGAGCAGCTGCGGTAAGCTATTCCAGGGTGGCATTTCCCTGCATGCCATAGTTCCAGGCTCTGGTGGGCTTTCATGCAATCACCAGGCAAAGGCAGGTCAAGCATGTTTAATGAATTTCCCTAGTATCCACAGAGATGACTTCGCTACATAACAGATCAATTTCTTTTCAGTTAAACTGAAAAGCCTTCATAGAAATTTTAAAGACTCAGCATATCAGATATCATCTTTGTCTAGCCTGAGCTAAATCTTCCCGTCATCCTGTCGCTGCAACATGTAACTGTAGTTCAGATCCAATTAATTTGGATATGTTCCTTCTCATTCCCAGACCTGCTCTTTTTTACCTCCTCTTTGCAAGGTTTTCTCAAGACTTCTCTTAGAATAAGCTTTGTTACAAGACTCATGAAATTCAGAATTTAAAACTACCTTGTGGGGATTCTTTCTTAGCGCTTAATAATTCATCCAGAAGAGTAAACAATCCTCATATATGCTAACTTTGATAAGAAAGTACTACAGACAAGACATACTTCAAATTAGTACAAGAAAGATTCAAGGCATTTGTTTTAAAAACACACTCCACAAAATCCCAGGTTTGTGCATTGCAAGCCTGCACTAAGGCTTCCTAGGGTTCTGGCTGCTGTTTTTAAATAAGTCAAAATTCTGTTTGTTTTTTTGAAGTGCTATAGTTTCCTATTTATATTCACAGCACATACCTCTTGCAGTTTCACTATATATTTTCCACAGATTACAGTAAATAAAAGCTATAGCTGTGAAGGTTTAGGACTGAGGGAGATTCCTGAAAAACTACCTGTCACAACTGAAATCCTCGACTTCAGCTTCAACGTGCTCCCTTCTCTCCAGAATTCAACTTTCTCAGAGCTGAAGTCTCTTCTCTACTTGGACTTAACAAGGTATGGGAAAGTGTCCTCACTTCTGCACATCAGGTTGGTCAAACCCCCTGCCCGAAGGTGCCTTCTGGAGCACACCAGAGGAGCATCTCCCTGCCTTCACAGGGGAACCACCAGTAGCACTTGCAGACAGCTGTGAAGTATTTTGCTAAGCAGAGATTGATACACTTGGGCAATATCTAGGCTTCTCCTCTGGTGACAATCATTTGCAGGACAGTGGGTGAAATATGCATTTTCCACATATTACTGCTGCTAAGACAGCAAAGTCACTAAAGCAATTTTTTAGTTCACTATTCTATATTGTTCCCTAAACCCTAAAGAAAGACAGGTTTGGTCCTTGTAAATGCCCAGCTTTTTCTATAGGAAAAGAGATTTTCATTTTATTAAGCCAGACACTAAAAACTTCATGTCTCCGTGACTTCTACAAATGCTTCCACACACCCATCATTTCAGGGCATTTTTTTCTTCTCATCAGGACCCTGTTTTTCAATGTGAGCTTATAAATACCAGGCAAGCATCACTGGAAAAGACAGACACTTTTATCCTGGTGAAGGCCACTGATCATGAGTTCTTACAGATATGAAGTGCAGTTTGGGTTACCCCATATACCGGGAGAGTTTTGCGAGACAGGACACTGATGCTGGTTTCTGTTGCTTTCTCAAGGTGTCAGATCAACTGGGTGTATGATGGTGCCTTTCACAACAACAAGCAGCTGAAGACAATCGTGCTGACTGGAAACCTGCTCATGTTTCTGTCTGACACAGCATTCACTGGCCCACAGTCCCTGAAGCAGCTTGTCTTAACGCAGACAGGAATAACCAGTATGTCCTTTATTCCAATGACAAATCTGGACAGCTTGGATACCCTCATCTTGGGAAGCAACCACATCTCTTCGCTGCAGCTTCCTCCCAACTTCCCCACTCAAAACCTCAAATACCTTGACTTTCAAATGAACAACATAAGAGCAATCACAGCAGAAGATGTCCGTGTTCTGCAGAAGACCAATAATATAACTCTCATCTTTAAAGGCAATGACATTACATGCATTGAACCTGGAGCTTTCCAGTCCCATTTCTACAGTTTGGACTTCGGGGGCTGTGCTGACATCCCTGGGGTCCTGGCAGGGATACAGAATTCCACAGCCCAGACCCTTTGGCTGGGAACATTTCATGGTATGGAAAAGGAGCCCTACATAAGCCCAAATGTTTTACAAGGCCTCTGTAATATCTTTGTCAAGGATCTCTATCTGCAGCTACGGCACTTCAGAAACCTAAATGCTGACATGTTTCAGTGCTTGACCATGCTCCGAAAGCTGGACCTAACTCAAACACACATCAGCGCATTGCCCCCCGGCATCAGCGGCATGAACTTGCTAGTGGAGTTAGTTCTCAACGCAAACTCCTTTGAGCACCTCTGCAACATCAGCTCTGCTGCCTTCCCCTCCCTCACCCACCTCTACATCAAGGGGAACTTGCAGGTCCTGCATCTGGGCTCTGGCTGTTTGGAGAAACTGGAAAAGCTTCAACATCTCGATTTAAGTAAGAGTCATATTGAAAGCTTTGACTGCTGTAATGAAGCCCTGAGCGGTTTGAGCAGTCTTCAGTACCTGAATCTGAGCCACAACATAAAGCTCCACCTCCAAGGCATGCTCATTAAGGATGGTGCTAACCTGGAGCTGCTGGACCTAGCTTTCACACCTCTTCATATCAACACTTCACAGGGTCCTTTCCGAAATTTGCATCTCTTGCAAGTGCTGAATCTTTCCTCCTCCCACATTAATACTAGCATTCAGCATCTCTTTCAAGGCCTGGAAAACCTCATGCTCTTGGACCTTAGTCAAAATAACTTTGAGTCAGGGATCATGCTAAAGGACGAACTGTTCCAACAGCTATCCAACTTAGAGGTGCTAATTTTGTCATCCTGTGAACTGACAGCAATAGGCAGACAAGCCTTTCACAACCTCAAGAAATTACGGCATGTTGATCTGAGCCACAACAAACTTACTGCATTCAGCACAGATGCATTTTCAAACCTCAAGAGCATCTATCTCAACTTTGCCCACAACAGGATCCATATTGTACCACGTGACAAGCTAGTGTCCCTAGCTGGCCACTGCGTAATCAATTTAAGTTACAACCCTCTGACCTGCACCTGCTCCAATATTGGTTTCGTCTCCTGGTACAAGCAGAATCTGGATAAAATTGAAGACCCTGAAGGAACAAGATGCTCTGAACCCAAATCGCTAGCTGGGGCTCAGCTGGCCACCGTCTCACTCTCCTGTGGGATCAACACATCAGGAATCGTTGCAGTTATCCTGGGTATTTTATCCTGTGGTGCCATCTTCATTTGGGGTGCTCGCTATTTCAAGCGAAATTACCAACAAATATAAGTTTATGATGGAGATACAGAAAAGATGTACAGCAATTGTATCAAGATGAAAGACAACTTACTGGTTTTGTTTGTGACCTGTATTTTCTTAACTTTTGTAATACCCTTTCCGTTTGTATTATAACTTCTAGAAAAATAATGAAAAACATTTATTTGAGAACTTGAAAAATAAACTATGACCTGAGCCTTGAACATGAATAACTTCAGGTATAGAGAAATCCCAGCTGAACTCAGTGTTAGCCCTGGTGTCCCAGCTACTATAGCTAACACATCTGTAAATGGAAGATCCAAGGGCCAAAATGCAAACCTTGTTCTCTTTAAAAAACAGAAAACCAAACCACCACCACCACCACCACTCCCAACAAAAAAAACCCAAACCAACCAAACCCTCACCCTCTCTCAAATGCCCTTGAAAAACAATGTTGTTTAAGAGGTGACAGTAGTGTACCCCACTCTGCTAAAAAGAAAAAAAACTTCCTGTGAAGAACAGGTGCAACATTCATAGTCGCATGAGACCTACTCCTGCAGGACCAACAGAAACTGCCTGTATCATCTCTGCAATTTCTTTAAAATATTTTTCATCCTTAGAAAGTTCCTGGGCCATTGAACCTCTGTCTGTTCATCTGCTGAGGCAGGCCCTGCTCCTCTACCATTTACTAGACTTCATAGTAAGCAGGGACTAGCAACAATTTCAGCTTTAACCACAAAACTTGTAGATTTGGTCAAGAATCTGCAGGTGCTTGGCACTATGTTTGCTTGCATGGGGCAAAAAACCAAATGCCAACAGCGGTGAGACTTTCCTGGGCCAGCCCAAAGTGGACTGTTTCCTCCAGCAGCAGCCCAGGAGAGAAAACTAAAAACTGCAAAGGGAATGGCGCAGTGGGGAGCAGCAGCTTCATCCTGTGGGTGCTCCTGGTGCCAACAGCTACTTCACATTGCTTCTTGCCTGTGTCCCTGGAGTGAAGTCAGAGTCCCTTCACTCCAACAGGATATGCAACAGATAGGCAGGAAAAAAGACAGACTTGTTATTATTTACTTCTACTAAACTACCACATCTCTTTTTCTGCCATCACATGTGAATAAACCCAGTGGCAAGACAGATTATGTACATTTGACCAAGGGTCTGGTGGGAGCTTGCTATGCCTGCTCCTCTGCCCTGTGTTACCATAGCATGATTTATGGCACTAGTGCTTTAATAACAGGCTAACCCTGGTGTATGGAGACAACCTTCTCAGACGTTAAGACCCCTCTGTCTCCATGGCAGGGCACGCACCCCTACCCCAGCAAGGCTCCCCAGTGTGTTAAGCTGGGAGCTGTGGTTGCTCACAGAGACATGGAAGGCGAGATTTCTCTCAACACTTTCCATGTGGGACTCCACATTCAGCTTCAGCTCCTGCCCCAAAGGCATTTCCTTGATATTTTCCTCCATATCATGCTGACTCGCTAAGATTTCAAAGATCCCTGCTGGACTAGAAAGTTTTTGTTCATTTCTGAAGACACTGCTGACAAGAATCTCTGCTTGGTCTTCTCCAGTAAGAAATACCTATCTTATTTGAAAAGCCCCTTTTATCCTCTGTGAGCAGATCAGACTAACACAACATGGATTCTTGTAGCTTTCAGATGCCTTCACATCACATATGCTGCCTGCCTTACCCCACAGCTTTTCCTTCCCCTGCCTTTGCAGCCATGTGCTGCCTAAGGGCGTGCCAAGGAGAGATGTTTGATGTTTCTTCTCCAGTTGCCTATAAACACTCCCAGATTTTAGGTACCAGAATGTTGCCTCTCCTCACAGCTCTCCATATTGCTGATCTATATTCCCTGTTTCTGTGGCTGCTGACATGCTCTGCACAGAAACCTCCTCCTGACCCGTCAGCAGGCACTGTGGTCCAACCGCCCAGCTGCAGAGCACCAAAGCTGCACAGGCTGCCGGCGTCCGATGAGCCCTTCTGCAAGGACTGGTCTAAACAAGAGAAACGTCACTGAGCAAGCCATGTTGCCTGAGGCAAGGACTCCCTGACTCGTCCTTGGGAGCAAGGCAGAGATGCTCCTGAAGTCAGCCCAGGGTTCAAGTATTTTCTTCTCCCTCTGCAAATCTGAGTGGTTAAATGAGCAACCCCTGATAATTGCCTTATCTAACAATCCAGCATGAATGCCAGTGTGTGCACCATCCAAGAGACCTGCTTCTTCCATTGTTTCCCTCGTCAATTTGTGGGTTCAGGAAAGCGATAGACAAATAGTGAAGTTAAAAGGGAGCATGATGCCATTCAGAGCTTGGGATGGGCACAAAAAAAAAATTCCTGCAAGTATCAGGTAGTAACTGTGGGAGATCCACAAATATCAATGACTTGAGGAGAAAACTGCATGTTGGGCTGATGCTTCCTGAAATGCCTCTTTGTTTGGAGAGAAGAACACAGGATTAAAATACCACCGGTTTCTGAAAAGCTACCCAGTGTCATGGCGTACAATTGTGTAGACTTCAGTCAGTTAAAACCCAAAGATGGCTGAAAAGGCAAAATGGTGAATGTGTTCCTGTGCAATATATATTTGCACATGGAGTATTAAGTACAGATTTTCCTGTGACCCATCCCTTTCCCTCGACACAACTTGTTTTTGATGACCATATCTTCATCTGTTGTCATTTTCTCTTTGATTTACTTTAGTGTCATCTCTGCCTTCTTACTTGCCTGCAAAACACCGTTCATAGGATGCCATGTAAACAACAGTGCTGAACAGCACACACTGTATGTTTTAGAATACACAAATCCTAAATCCAGGGCCTGATTATCCTGAAGAAAAATTTATATATGGCTATAATACACTAAAATGTCCAGACTATATATTTCAACTTTTCGAAGTCCAAAGATTTAGTCTTCTGGGATTACTTAGCAAGAATATAAATGGAAAGAGACAGTGGATTTATTTTTCTTTATAGCATTTGTTTACTCAGTCAAGCTTTGATCTGATGCAGTCCTTGGTTTCCAGTTAGGCCTTCTATCTATTATTTTTTCAAATACAGCTGGGGAGCGAGCGAGCACTCAGAGAACAAGGGAATTGCCTGAGGTGAATGGTGCCTAACAGGATTTAACTCATCACCATCCCGGCTCCTGGGCTACAGACGTCACTGAAGTCATGGTACAACACAAAACTGCAAAATAGAATTTGTTTTCAGTATTTACACAGAGAAGAAACCTGAGCAGATCTTAGCTATCAAGTCACATTTCAGACTGGTAAGCACTTATCTTTATTTCAATTGGACAAACCAAAACTCAGAGCCAAGTTCTTCTTTCCCCACCTGTGCTTAAACAAGATATGCAAGTCAATTTTTGAAAGAGGATTTTACTCTGAACAGGATAGTTGAAGAGGCCAATTTCTAAATCTGTCGACAAAAAAAAAAAAAAAAAAATCCTTATGTCAATGATGCATCTTTTAAGAACTTTCTCTCATTCACTAGTCTTGTCTGTACCTGGAAAAGGAGCAGGTGAGATCCCTTCCCAACCATTCACTCATACCATACCTCCTCGTCTGGCAAATACAATGGAAATTCTTCTGCCCCGGAAGCAGACCATATCTTTCTCCAGCGAATCTCTCAGACATGCTCTTGCCCCTGTATCTAATTCACACCTGCATTTTGAAGGGCTTGCTGTGTGCTAGAACTTACCTAGGTTGTTACTCTTCTTACTCTGCAGCCTTCTCCACTCTTCCTGATGCTCCCAGCTCTTTGCAGGTTGAACCGTAATGTCTAACATCGCTTCCTACCGTCAGTTCATTCAAATCCATCCTTGGCAGATGTCTGGGAGATTGAGCTGGTCAGTGGTAATCAAGTACTATAGTCAGCAGAAAGAAAAACTGTTGCTAACCCAAGCCATGAACTGGGACATGCCTCCACATACTCTCCAGTATCTTCCTGTCCTGTGATTGATTCTTTCTGAGCTGCCATCTGAGATACCATCCAAATCCAAGCTTGACATCCCTGCTAAGTCTTGTAAACTACGTAAGAGAGAAACACGGGGTCTAAGGGAACGTAGCAAATGGGGAGTTCAGTGCTGAAGAAGGGAGGCCATGTTTCTCTTTCAGACGATGAAAGCATTCCCATCCCAGGTAAGGTGCAGTCTCTTCTTACAACAGTAGAAGTGAGGATGATAGGCCATGCTAGATATATAATAGCAGTAACCTTTCTCTCCCAACTTCTCTCTCAACACAAACCCCTTACACCACCCCTTTCCTCTGGCCCTGAACACACTGAAGACTCACTCTGGGCATGCAGGTTTCTATGCCTCTCGCCACTCAGAGGTGACTGCTGCTGTCCACAGCCACAGACGGCACAGCAGGCAGAGCAGTTAGATCCAGAGTCAATCCTCAACTCTAGTATAATTTCCTTTCCCTGAGCGGCCAGATCCTGCTCTCTCCTCCTCGACTCATCACACCCCCTGCCAGTGTACCAGTTTTGCACACTATCTGCCTTCAGCTGGGTTGCAGCAAGTTGGAAAGCTTGGGGGTGACCTATAGCTTCCCCTCACCTATTGGTTTCAAACAGAGAGCAAAGCAGCAAAAAAGATGCTGTAACACTGCTGCACTTGGGTTTGTACAGAGGAAGAACAGAGAAAACAATGCAATAATAAAATGTGAACAAAAATACCCTCCCCTGCTGGGCAAACAGTTCCTGGCATGTGCCAACCAGCTGTGCAGAGCTACTGGCAATGAACAGTAAAGATGAGTGTATTTTAATAGACATTGCTCCTCTGCAAGAAGTGGAAAGATGAAAATCAGGGGAGCAATAATCCTGTCCTGTTGCTCCTCCTGCCAGAAGGATTTCTGTTCATCAAAGAGGCCACTGGATACTAAGGTGCTCTGCTCCATCTTCCCCGTCTCATCCACTGCATCTGTTTTATCTTCTATTATGATAAAAAAAAGAATGATACATTCTAGTGGTAGAGATTTCAAAACTGAAGAAAACGTTGCACTTACACATGCTCCAGGAATTTGTTAAGGCTCAAAATTTGC